GATTTTACGATGTGGTGTCCCGGGGGGGGGGGTTGGATTGAGTGAGAATTGAATAGGTTAGAACCGCTATCATGAGCTCTCATATTCAATCTTGATAACTCTAATCTATGTTTTCAGGTGGATCCAGCACTATATGGCGATACTAAGACTAGATCTTTTATACATTTTCAGGTATTTCATTTGTATATATGTTAATGATTTTCGTTTTGTGGTCTTGAAGGTGATCGATCTAGCTAATTACTTCAATTTAAAAGAGTTTATGCATATTGTATATTTCCTAGGCTGGCAATATTCATTGTTTCAATACGCTATGCCCTGGATTTATCATAGTTAACAGAGATTTCCCCGTTGATGCTAGTTTTGACAACTTTCAACATCGTGGAGATAAAAGTGCATCGGAAATCACAATGTTCATTGATCGGGTACATATATCTTTTTTTTTCTTTTGCATTTTTGGAGATTTTAGTTGATATTTGAATAACATATTTGCGCGTTTTAGAATTTGAAAGGTTCTAAATACCAAAATAATAAACTTTTTTCTTAAAAAAAGGATTTCGTCAATGGAAATTGGTGGCTTCTGTACGATGAAAGCAATGTAGAAGTTGGCTTTTGGCCTCAGAAGATTTTCACTGAGTTGAGAAGCTTTGCTGATAATGTCGAGTGGGGAGGAGTAGCATATAGTGAGCCAGGTGTGCCTGAACCTCCGATGGGCTCAAGATGTTTTCCTATTGGAGATCCTAATTATGATGCTTATTGTAGGAGATTTAACGTTTTAAATGATAAAGGAGAAACAATACATATAGACAAAACGAACGTACGTGTTGATGATCCTAATCACTATGGTCTTAAGGATGTACCACATTGGAGAGGTGGAAAATATCAACATATGGCATTTTATGGAGGACCTGGTGGGTTCGAGACATTATGTTAATTGCTAAAAAGATAGTAATTTATTTGTTGGTTTTATCGATTCGATCGATCACTATAATGATTTACTCCTCATTTTTTTGCAAATTGATATAATGTGCGATATACGGAATTTATGTATGATGCCTAAATTGCACGTATAATGCACGCTGAAACTAATTTTTATTAAATATACATAAAACCTATATTAAGAATTTATGATTTGATATGATTTTGTTATTCCCCTTTGTTAAAGAATGACAAAAGTCTCACATCGGTGGTTAATGAGATGGGTGGACTCCTTATAAGGCTTGGGCAATCCTCCTCCCTTTGAGCTAGCTTTTGGGGTGTGAGTTAGGCCTAAGACCTAATTTAACATGGTATCAGAGCAGGGCCCGTCTCACCCGATGTTGGGACCCCCAAAATCAAAATTGCCCACGCACCAGATGCTAAGCACTGGGCGTGAGGTGGGGTGTTAAAGAATGACAAAAGTCCCACATCGGTGGTTAATGAGATGGGTGGACTCCTTAACATGGTATCAGAGCAGGGCCTGTCTCATCCGATGTTGGGGCCCCCAAAATCAAAATTGCCCACGCACCAGATGCTAAGCACTGGGCGTGAGGTGGGGTGTTAAAGAATGACAAAAGTCCCACATCGGTGGTTAATGAGATGGGTGGACTCCTTATAAGGCTTGGGCAATCCTCCTCCCTTTGAGCTAGCTTTTGGGGTGTGAGTTAGGCCTAAGACCTAATTTAACACCCTTTGTGTTGTTTAGCTCATACAGTTTTACAAGTGGTTTGTTTCCCACTGGTCATTAGATAATTAGTGAAGTTTATATAGGGTTATTTGAACCTATCGTTCTTATTTTGTGTTCGTCTTTAATTTATTCCTGTCATAATAAATATTATTTTTACTGAATATGAATCTATATTTTCGTATCATAGTAATGTCGCACAAATTGAATAGTTTGGGCGGGAATTAATTTGATATTTGAATTCCTCTTATGACCATTGTAACTTTTACTTAGAATGACAAAAATATCATTTAAGATGCAATGTATTTAATAATAAAAATAAAGAAATTGCGAGCTAGATCCACCAAAAGAGTTATCGAATTGTAAATTAACCAAGAGTTGCGCGATATTTTAGTAGATATTAAATATAAAAATTGTCATAGTAGAAATTATAAGGCTTACACTAGTGCACTATCACCAGGTCCTCCATAAAGAACATAAAAGGAAGACTTTGAACCAATCCATAGAGGCTTGAATAAAACATTGTATAAATTAGGATTGTCGATATGTGTGATTGTTTTATCTACTGCAATTGTCTTTCCTTTCACGTCTAATACTGCAATTTTCTTACAATAAGCATCATAACCGGAGTTTTCAATGGGAAAAAAACTTGAGCCCATAGGAGGTTCAGCTACATCTGTTGGACTATATGCAACTCCTCCCCAATTAATGGATTTAGTAAAATCTGCCAAGCCAGTACGTGTGAAGATCTTTCGTGGCCAAAAACCAACTTCTGTATAGTCATTTTCCAATAAAAGCCACCAATTTCCGTTGACTAGATCCTTATTTTGTAAAAATAAAGTAATAAATATATGTTAATGTCTATATTAATTATAAATAATGAAAAAGAAGAGAAAAATAATATGTACCCGCTCAATGTACATTGTGTCCTCCCATATTGTTCCTCCACGTTGTGAAATATGATCCTCGTATGACACATCAAGAGGTATTTCACTATCTACTTGTATAAAGCAAGGACATAATGTATTAAAACAATGAACTTCACCGGCCTAAAAATTAGAGAAATATATATATATATCAAATATAAAAACTCTTGTAACTTGAGGAAAATAATTGAACCATAAGACATATAGTTCTAGTTTTCATGAACCATGGTGGAAATCCTTACCTGAAAATGTATAAAAAGTCGTGTTTTGATATCCCCGTATAATATTGGATCCACCTAAAATATGAAATGTAGATATACAATTATGATATTCGAGCATGAGCATTGACAAAATTTTCACCTCCTTCTGAGAAGTAATTAAATTAGGAATGATAAAAATAAATTGAAACCTACTCTCCAACCAACTTGTATGATATCAGATTCAGATTGAATTTTTAGTCGACAAGCACTATGTTGTTGACCTTTAACATGAGGATTGTACACGCTAGTTATCATCCCACCTCCCCCAAATCTAATAGATGGATTGCTTGGAGTCCGAGCTGTTGCAACCTGAATAAATAAATATTTTATATTGATCCATAAGGAGATCAAATTAAAGTTGAAAAAATAATAATTAAAGACTAACGTAATATTGTACCTTATATCCTTGTGAAGACATGTATCTTTCATTTGGCTCACTAATATTGTTGTTGCCCTGCATTAGATGGAAATCAATATACAATAATTGAAGACTAAGTTTATTTATATTTGTGTAGGAATATTTTTTTTCTTTTCTATAAATGTATAAATAAATACTTTATTTGTTAGAATCTATTTATAATAAATAAAATAATTAATTTCTCAAGTTTAGGTATGAATTTCTAAAGCAATAACGATAAATTGTTCATGAATTATCTTACGGCAACAAATTGATCATCGAATGGGACATTTTCTGGCGGTGGTATACGTCTATGTCTTATAAGATCATCCTTCGTAATTCTTTTAATCGGAACAGTTCCAGAAGGGCACCCTCCATCTTCTGACAGTTGTGTCAATGACTTACTAGAGGTGGAAGCACTTGAATTTTGATTTATCCTCAATAAATTAGGTTTCATCTATTCAACCAAATATTTAATTGTAAGTCAATAATATCATATCCCTGTAAAAAAAAAACTAGAAGGAAAAGAGGGTAGAATATGCCTTAGGATGAAAATTATGATCCTTTAACAATGGATGATCAAATCCAGGCTGTTTGTAGAAATCTACACAATCGTATATATCTCCATATTTAGTCTGTGAAAAAAAAAACAATTATCAAATAAAATTTAAAAAAAAACAGATAGAACATTAGGTCCATTTACTACCCAAAAACCATGTGAAAGAGGAAGATTTGATTATTTTTTTACCCTACAAAAGGGTTATTATAAAATAAAAATAGTATTGTCACAAGAGACTTACAAATATAGTGAATCGAAAACAAATACCTTAATTGTTTTTACTGGTGGCTTGTTCAAATTTTTTAATTGTTTCTCTAATTCCATATCTTCGAATTTGGATAGTTTTTTATCTCCTCGTACTCCATTATAACTCAAAAACAAATATAGCACCAATAAAACAGTTTGTCGAACAATTTTTTGATACATCTTGAATTTATTATTTTTTGTAGGCGGGTAGTTTAAGGCCTTTTCAAAAAAATATAAACTTTGAACATGATGAAGAAAGCGTTATATAATAGTGAAGAAAATATTGAATTGACTACTATAACAAGATATTCAATTAATGTAATCTTCTAAATCATGATTGATCAAAATCTACAAAGACTTTTATTTAATAAATGTTGACTATTCAATAGGAATATCCAAAATAACTATTTGAACATAAATTTCACCAGAAACAAAATTTAAAAAGATTTTCAGTTACGCGTACACAATAAAACACTTTGTTGATTTTTGGTGGTTGGGTCCAACTGGTTTTTTTTTTTCACTTGGTGTTGATATTCACATTGGAGCTTGACTAAATTTAAATTCGCGTCAGAAAATTCCACATTGAAAGATAAAACGCTCCCTAATAAAAGCGACTCTATACCTAAAGGGACACGAAAGGTCCAACTAGTTATGTCACCTGGATTGAAGTATATTAAGCCTATGAAGTAAGAAATAAATAGGCATTAATATATAGTTATTACATGAGTATTTTGCCAACATAATCCTTAATTTCTTCCAAATCTTTTATTTTTGGGATCTCAATATTTTTAAAATTCAAAATTTGCATCACTTGAACTCACTTTAGGGTGTGTTTGATACGAAGGAAAACATTTTCTGAAAAATATTTTTCAACTTTCTCATGTTTGGTATCCGATAGATAAATAGTAACATTATCACTTGATTAATGAATATATAACAAAAAAATCATGAAAAAGAAAACTTGTAGAAAAATGAATCTAGCCTTTGAAATTTCTTCTACCAATCTCCATTTCTAGAATCTATTTTCATCCCGCATGTTCGATATCTGCATTAGAGTTCGATTAATTTGGATCCACACCGTGTAATGCCTTGACCAAATTGTATATCATCACACTCTCCTAAAAAAATATCGAGATTTATCATGTAAAAAAAGAGAAAATTTCAGAAATACCAAAGATAATAGACATAATAAGGCTCTATATATATAGTTATAGTTTCGGTAATTGCGCTGCATAACTATCCTTTGATATGACGACTGTGGTTTGTATATTTCGCTTGCGAATATACAAACAAGGTAAATATATGCAAATTTTGTATTTATACATTTAAGAATTTTTCAGAACTCTGTTTGTATATTTCGCTTGACAATATACAAACAGGGTAATTTAATTACGAAGTTTTCATAAATCCTATATAAATAGCTACGGTAAGAATATACAAATTTTGGATTTATACAATCAAAAACCGAATTATAAAAATTCCAGATTTATACAATCAGGGAAATATACAAATTATCGAATAACAAAATTTCGCGAAATGTAATCTTCTGAAGTACAATGGTCAACAAATTAATATACAAAAGTCTTATATTTAATAAATGTTAATTGCTGATATTCAAAATAATAATCTGAACATATAGATTACATCAAAATGTAACCGAATTCACAAAAAAAAAAAAAAATTGACGCTGATTGTGATTTGTGAATGTGCGATTCAAAATACTAGAATTTATATATGGTATTGTTTTTCTCACACTACTAAGAAAATCGAGATTATTAAGCAGGTAAGAAATGCAAGTTAAGATTTGGTAAAAGAACTATTCAAATATATATCTATCAAGAAAGCTCGATATTGAAAATTAATACTTTTATAGGAGTAATTAACAAGAATTACACTTGTGGTTTATTACCAGGTCCACCATAAAGAACATAAAGAAAATTGTTTGAACCTTCCAATAGATATTTGAATAGAACTTTATATGCAAAAATATTATCAGTATACCAAAATATATTATTTATTCCAACTGAATCTCCTTCCTCATTTGAAAATGCAATGCTCCTACAATACCCATCAAAAGAAGAATTTCCTATGGGAAAATAGCTTGAACCCATCGGGGGTTCAGGTACACCTGGTGGATTGTATACTGATCCTCCCCACTCAATTTTTGTAGCATATTGTGCCAACTCGGTGAAGATAATATTCGGCCAATAACCAACTAGATCATATTTTTGTCCCAATAGAAGCCACCAGTGTCCATAGGCTTGATCCTTATAAATGTACATTAGGATCTCCCATGTCTTCACTCCACGTTGTGTAATGTGCTCGAATGAACTATCAAGAGGTATATCAGGGTTTACTTGCACAAAGCCGGGGCATAATGTATTGAAACATTGGGTTTCACCTATCTAGAAAACTTAAAAGACATATCTTTAGTGGCGTAATCAAAATTTATACTAAAAGGGAATTCAAAACATGAAGAAATAAGCATACAAACAAATCAAAGAAAATTCAACACTTATTGTATATACATAAAAATAATTTTCTGTAGAAGGAGATCTCAATTGTCCATACCTAGCTCCGCCCCTGCATATATGATACTTGAACTCTTGTACATGAAGGAAACTTATATATAGCTAAACCAATAGACATAGTAGCTTCATGAACGCGATAATGAAATCATCAAAGTACTAAGACAAGTTACCTGATAATGTATGAAAAGTCTAGTTTTATTATCCCCATATAATGTTGGATCTACCTGAAATACGAAACAACAATATTGTAATAAGCGGGTATAAATTTATATTAAGACCTATAATTGACATTTTAGAGATATTTTTCTATGAAGCAATTAAATTATGTGTGGAAACGATTAGTTATACTTACCCTCCAACCAACTTGTAAGATTTCTGATCCTTTTTCAATTCTTATTCGACTAGCACTACTTTGTTTGCCTTCAACGTGAGGATTGAATAAACTAGTTGTCATTCCAGCTCCCGTATACTTTGTAGTTGACTCTTTTGGAGTTCGAACTATTGCACGCTAAGTATAAAAAGAATTTTTTTTATTAACTTTTACAAATTATATATCCAAAGTATGGCTAGCCCTAAAAGGCAAATGCATAGACTTTGAAAGCACAATTTGATATTTTGAAAGGAAAAAGAAACTCCAAATTGTAAATTAAACTTGTTGCATTTGATATTTCAAATCAAACTAAAATAAAAGGATAAGAAAAATGGAAATATGACAATTTTTTCATAGTTATATACCTTATATCCATAAGAAGGCATGTAGCTTGCTTTTTGCTCACTATTGTCATTGCTCTGCAATATATGAGTTTAGCCACAACAATTAAAAAAAATTAAACTTTTTATGAAATCATAAATTGTTAAAAGCATTAAATTGTTCATAAATTATTTTATGCCTACATATTCGTTGTCGAAGATGGCAGGTTCCGGTGATGGCAGATCTCTTTGTCTTATAAGATCATCCTTTGTGATTCTCTTAATGGGAACAGTTCCAGAAGGACAACCTCGATCTTTTGACCATATTGTCAGTAATGTATTAGTTGCCGAGTCATATGAATTTTGCTTTATCATGGATAAAATAGGTTCCATCTGTTCATCCAAATATTTAATTGTATGTCAATAATATCATATATGTGTACAAAAACAATTAAAGTAAAAAAGAGAGTAGAAATATGCCTTAGGATGAAAATTATGGTCCTTCAACAATGGGTGATCAAACGCATGTTGTTTGTAAAAATCAACACAGTCGTATGTATCTCCATATTTAGTCTGTGAACAAAAAAAAATCACAAATAAGATACCTAAATTATAGTAGTTATACATCTTGCTATTCAATATGTACCTTTTAAATACAAAACAATATAACAAAAATAAATTTTCGTAGATCATAACATTACAATTTTTTTTTAAAAAAATTGTTGGCATTCGAATTTGAAAAGTCTAAATTGGTTTTGATATACATATTGGTATGCCTTTTGTCAAAAAAAAAAAAAACTATAATGTAGAAGGTTCAATTTTCAAATACAATAAAAAAAAATTAAAGAAAAAATCCATGTGAAAGAGGAATATTTTCAAATAAAAATAATAAATATCTCGTGAGACTAGAACAAAAATCAAATACCTTAATTATTTTGATTGCTGGTTTATTCAAAAGTTTCAGTTGTTTTTCTAGCTCCCTATCTCCCAATTTGGATAACTCTTCTTCGCCTTGGACTCCATTATAACTTAAAAATAAACATAACACTAATAAAATTTGTCGAACAATTCTTTGATTCATCTTTAAGTTATTCATCATTTTGCAAGTATAAGGACTTTGCTACTATGAGGAAGGTGTTATATAAGGCTAGGTATGGAAAAGATTTAAAGTAATTTACCATATAAAATATTGAATATAATTGATGTAATTTTCTCTAGAATGGTCAACAAAATGTTCAAAAAGTTATCTATATTTAATAAAAAAAAAATGTTGATTGCACTTTTTAAAGTAGAATTAAATCTGAAATTGACTTCTGGTATATTAAGCCCAAGAAGTAAGAAGACAAATGGCCCTTACCTTAAGTGGGCTTGAGATTGTTATCATAGTATATTGGGATACAGAATTTCACTAGTTTAAAATCTAATTATTTAAATACACTCTAGTTTATAATATTACGAATTTTATCAAATTTTGATGCATTAAAATATGTCAAGATATATGTATCTCGGGTTACATGAGATCAAAATTATGTGTAATTTATTTTAAATATATTGTATCCAAAGGGATTCGCATGATTTGAGATACATAGATAAATTTCGTAATTCTCTTAATCGGAACAGTTCCTAAAGGGCACCCTCCATCTTCTGACAGATGTGTCAATGACTTACTAGAAGTGGAGGCACTTGAATTTTGAGTTATCCTCACTAAATTAGGTTTCATCTATTCAACCAAATATTGAATCGTAAGTCAATAATATCATATCCTTGTTATAAAAAAAAATAGAAGGAAAAGAGAGTAAAATATACTTAGGATGAAAATTATGATCCTTTAACAACGGATGATCAAATCCAGGTTGT